ACGTTAAACAACAACAGAGGAGAGGTCAACGTACAAGAACAATAACAGAGGAAAGGTCAACGTTAAACAACAACAGAGGAGAGGTCAACGTACAAGAACAATAACAGAGGAAAGGTCAACGTTAAACAACAACAGAGGAGAGGTCAACGTACAAGAACAATAACAGAGGAAAGGTCAACGTTAAACAACAACAGAGGAGAGGTCAACGTACAAGAACAATAACAGAGGAAAGGTCAACGTTAAACAACAACAGAGGAGAGGTCAACGTACAAGAACAATAACAGAGGAAAGGTCAACGTTAAACAACAACAGAGGAGAGGTCAACGTACAAGAACAATAACAGAGGAAAGGTCAACGTTAAACAACAACAGAGAAGAGGTCAACGTAATACATCAACAGAGGAAAGGTCAACGTAAAACATCAACAGAAGAGGGGTCAACGTAATACATCAACAGAGGAGAGGACAACGTAATACATCAATAGAGGAGAGGCCAACGTAATACATCAACAGAGGATAGGCATACGTAATGCATCAACAGAGGAGAGGCCAACGTAATACATCAACAGAAGAGAGTTCAACGTAAAACGACAACAGAGGAGAGGCCTACGTAAAACGACAACAGATGAGAGGTCAACGTAATACATCAACAGAAGAGAGGTCAAAATTTGGGTTGTATTATCAGGAGAAATCCTCTATTTCCCCTAATGGGCCCCGCACCTCTGCCCAAAGTGGGAGGGGGAGGGCACACCCACCATTTATACAAAATTTATACAAGTCCTTTGGCTAAAGAATGCTCCAGACTAAATTGCAATAAAATCCCTTTATCCCCGTCAAACAACAACAACAGATGAGAGATCAACGATGAACAACGACAGAGGAAAGTTCAACGTTAAGCAACAACAGCAGAGGAGAAATCAGCGTTAAAAACACAGAGGGGAGGTCAACGATAAACAACATTAACACCACAGGGGATGTCAATGTAAAACAACACTATAACAACAGAGGAAATGTCAACGTAAAACACAACATTAACAACAACAAAAACAACATATGAAAGGTCATGTCATATAAATGTAAAACAACAACAACAGAGTAAAAGTCAACGTAAAGCAATACCAATAACAACAGAAGAAGAGAGGTCAACGAAAAACAACATCAGCAGAGGAAAGGTAAACTTAAAACAACAACAAAGAAAAGGTCAACGTAAAACAACAACAGAGAAA